GACCCACATCATCATCATCGTTCGTTAGTCATCATCTCAGTCACCATCACCTTATCATCACCACCACAATCACCATTAGTTGATCACCATCATCATCATCATCATCGCAGCCATCCTCATCATCTTACGTACGAACATTTAAGATTCATTTTTGTCTTCACCTTTTTTATTAACAAAAAACAACATTCACTGAACATTGCAATATTATTTATTAGTTTTAAATTACATTACAGTACTGAAAAGCATTCCTGCTAAAAGTAACGGATTACTAAAACAACAACAGTAACAACAACAACAGTAAATACAACAACAACAACAACAACAACAGTAACTAAAACAGTAACTACAACAACAGCAGTAACTACAACAACAGCAACAACAGCAGCCACACACCACCACCATCATCGTAACAACGCGAAAAAGATTTTTCTGCCCTTGAGTTGTCCTTTTTCTACTTTGAAGTTAGTTGTTGAATTTTTTCTAGAAATTGACCTTTAGATAAAATTTCAACAAAAAACAAAGGAAACTTCAGCATTGTAAGAAAAGAAGTAAAATTAATTTTTCAACCACAAAACAACATCAACAACAACGCAACAATAACACCAAAAAGAAGACAAAAACAACAATACAACAACAACAGTACAACAACAACACAAAATTCACAACAACAACACAAAATTCACAACAACAACACAACAACAGTAACAACACAATAACCACAATAACAAAAAAAAACAACACCATAACAACAACAATAACAACAACAACAACAACAACCCCACGACGACAACAAAATCTTCTAGCACAAGACGCAATTATTCAGGAGATAACGCAATTTTGTTAAGATATTCATTCGTCGATATCATGCAAAAAAACAACGCAATGTAATACAACAACAACATTACAACATCAAAATGCAACGCAACAACAACGTCACAACAAAATACAACACGCATATCAAATGCACTACAAATGCATAACTACAAAAACATTACTACAACAACAACAACACATCAAAAACACGTCAACACTAAAACAACGACTACAGAAACAAACAACGACTACAGAAACAAACAACAAACCAAAAAATTCACCAGCTGCAACATAGCAGTAGCACAAATCCATCCTACCAACCAATGCACCAACCGATGTTTATAACAACAACAGGTGTTAGTCGTGATTAAGATGACGTCATTTTCGTGACGACGACAATGATGATGATGTTAGTGGTGATGGCGGTGATGATGATGATGGTGATGATGGTGATGATGGCGGTGATGATGATGGTGATATCAATGACGATGATGATGATAACGATGTAAGATGTTAGAGTATGCGTCTGTTTTCAGTGCACGCATTTTCTCCGCGGTTTATTGCACGCCGCATCGTGCGCACGTATAACAGCAAATAACTGAACACATAAAAGGACGCTAACCATTGTCATCGGCGAAAGACATCCAGTCGATGCATATATTCCCCATCTTTTCCATCCACTTATTCTTCTAATTATTATTATTTAAATTATTATTATTAAAATATATTCAAATTTATGATATAAATTTGAATATATTTCACCGCTCTGTACTTTTATTTTGAAGTGAGCATGGTGGTTTTACATTGGCATTTCATTATTTTACCACTTCATAGTTTTAATTATTCATTACCCTGGCTTTGAATAAAAGAGTCTTCATCATTACTATTTGGTTACATAATAATACTAACCAAACCAAAGCTATTTGTTTTTTTTCTTATAAAATATACCATTATTTAACGGCGCGTCAGTTATAGTTTTTCTATTTACCGTTTAAATGCTTAGTGAATTGTGAACTGTGAAATGTGTATTGCAAGGGTCAGTTCAAAGCTTCAGCACTAACATCAACTCAATAAATTATTTAAAAAAAATCCCACCAGGCAACTCTGCTGCAATTTCCAGTCAAATCATTTTTATAAAAAATTAACACTGGGACTGAAGTCATCACTTTTGTTGCGACTACTATTGTCATTGCAATTACATTAATTTCAATATAAATGTGGTGATTTTTGTTATTGTCGTTGTTGTCGTTATTAATGATGTTATTGTTGTTATTGTTATTAGAAATGCTGTTGTTGTTAACGATATTAATATTGTTGCTATTGATGCTATTGTTGTTATTTCGGTTAAGGGAGGGAGTCTAAGAAGGGCCGATGGGTTGGTTGGTTAGTTGGTCGGTTGGAAGGTTTGGGCGCATCCATCTAACACGCAGGACAAACTTCAGATTTCGTGTCACCATCCTAATCGTCATCGGACTCATCTTTCTTATCGTCATCATCATCTTCATCATCGTCGTTGTTTTAAAATCCTCTCCCTCATCCTCTTTCTCATCCCCATCATCATCCTCATCATTCTCTTCCTCCTCCTCATCATCATTGTCATCATCATCATCATCATCATCATCGTCGTCGTTAGATGGAGATAACTGAAAGTTTGCAGAGGATTTCATGTTCTTATCACGTCCTCTAGCCAGCAATATTAAATGAGGTCGTCATCGTCAATGATGGTGGTGATGGTGATGATTATGAAGATGGTGATGATGATGATTATGACACTAACAGTGTTGATGAAGAGGACGGCGATGTGAATGATGAAGATGATGATGAATATGATGGTGAAGATGATGATGAAGATGATGGTAAAGATGATATTAATGATGGAGATAATTCAACGATTATGGTGAAATTAACTGCAATAATGAGCTGCATTGCATTCCAACTTCACCACTGCTAAATAAAATGATGAAAATCATAAAAAAAAAACAGCGGAATGATAAAAACATAAACATGATGCAAACTGCGGCCGCTGCCTTGTGAATATTAACAAGAGCTAATGCATATTAATGAGATGACGTGTCGTTTCGTCATTCGATAGCCAATGCATGTATAATGAGTTGGCCACATCGTTATGCTGCAGTTTTCAGTCATTCACATAATGTTATTATCATACGTGCATGAAAATATCAAAAATATATGCATGTTGTACTTATTTTAAATGTAAAAATTTGCTAACAAGATTTGCTGGTCAGCAAAAACTATTTGCTATTATCCAAACAAAATTATGAGGTCATATGATTGCTTGTGTGTGCTAGTGTGTGTGTGTGTGTGTGTGTGTGTGTGTGTGGTGTGTGTAAGTGTGTGTGCGTGTATTCTGCTTTTGCTTTGTCCTGTCCTTTTGTACTATATATTATACTAGGAACAAGAACAACAACAATTTAAGAATTGCTGAAGTGATCTCCATTGACCAAAGAAAACCGCAAATCAACGAGCAGCAAAGAATGGCAACATCATTAAAGACCAGATTGACCAGAAGAATATTATTGAAAGATTTAACAAGCAAAGAGAATGAACAAAACAAAGATATAATAAACTGACAGTAAAGAGCAGAATAAAAGCACATTGCACACAGAGAGAATTGTAAAACCTTTAAATATCCCTATATAAGCGCTGATGATGAGTAAAATCGAAGTATGGCCTACACGCTTCACCGTGATCACCAATGATTTTTTTCAGTAATTTTAATAAATTGGATAATTATTATAAAATTATATAATTTAATTATATAAAATTATTATATTACTGTCAGAAATATTGAAAGGCTCAATCGTAAATTTTCAAAAGCTAAAAATTTGATAAATTTTATAAAATATTATATATATATATATATATATATTATTGGTTAACCATTACCCGCCATATGGCAGACGTACGTTTCGTCTCTCACGAGACTCGTCAGCAGCCTACCGAATAAGGTTTGAGATAACTCAACTCAATTATTGTAACCAAGAAATATATATACACACACACAAACACACACACACACACACACACACACACAAACACACACACACATATATATATATATATATATATCATTCTGGTGTACTAGTGCAGTTGTTTTTCATCACGTTCTTTGGTTGGAGTAGTTTATTCGTAGTTCAACACTATCGTTTTCGTTGTTTGCTTGGACGTTATTTTTAATGATTCTTAAAATTATTATTAATGAATATAAAAAAAACAGTTCCATTAAATTTGCATGATGAACTTGGGTAATTCTATTTTCAACAAATTGAACAATTCTCAAAAAAATCTAGTAAGGAATATTGAAAAGACAAACTTCAAATTGGTAAATGCCAACAATTCGGTAGAATTCATACAAACAAGGAATCAACAAAATAAAATAGAGGCACAGCAGTATATATATATTTGAGCATAAAATAAACAAAAATTTTGCTTTTGAACTCAAGAAACTTGAAAATGATTTGAGATTGACCGTTAGAAAAATCGAAAAGTTAAGTTAGAAGTTAACTAACGCCGAACATGCTGTGATTTTCATCAATATACGTATATATATATAAGTATATATATATATAAGTATATATATATATATATATATATATATATATATATAAAGTAGTTTTGAATATGTCTAAATCATCTCATGAGTCGACTTCAGTGGAGATATAAATAAAAATATAGCATAAGTAAAATGCATCGTTGTATCGTGTATGCAGTAGGGACGCACATATGTATGCACCGCATGTAATGTATGTATGTAAGGTAATGTATGTAAAGAAACATGTGTCAACTTGAACACACACACACACACACACACGGGCCCACATGCTACAAACACATTCGTACGACGGCATAATTTCGTTTTAGCTTCCTCCAGTTTACACACGATCATACACGACAGGCATACAACAAACGCAAGAAGTGAACGTACATCGTTATTATATAATGGACTGTGTACGGATGAGCGCATGTTGCGAGTGTAATGAAATCAGGATCTGATAGACGCAGAAACTGTTAGAGCATGCAGGGCAGTAGTACAAAATTAAACTAATAAATAAATAAAAACGGAGAAAGAAAAATGTTTAAACAAGAAAAATAAAAAAAAAATAGAATAAATTAAATATTAATAATAAAATAGATAAAAGAAAATAAAATTAAATATATTGACAATAAAATGAAGTAATGGCATAAAAAGGCAAATTAATAGACTAGATGATGACTTAGTGAGTTAGAGAGGTGATCGATAAATAAAAACTAGTTGTGTGAATGATGAAGTTTCATTGAGTGTTCATATGTTTGAGGTGTCTTGTGATGAAGGTCTTTTCCTGATATGTTGATTGGGGGACGGCTTGATACTTATGTTTGCCCTGACGAAGGTTGTGTGTTGTAGTTTTAATTGGTGGTAGTAGAAGATGAATGACGTCTTTGTTGTTATTTTGAAGCAGATGTTGAGAAAATACATTTACTCATTCATTTATTTATTCATTCATTCATCCATTCACCCATTAATTCTTTTTTTTATTTCTTAGCATCTCCCTGTACGATCTCTCCATCTCGCAATATTAAGGTCGTAAAAGGGCAATTTTGTGCACCATTGAAATTTTAACATGCTGCTCAAAATGATTGTCAGTGAAGATGATGATGATGGAAATGATGATGATGATGAAAAAGATGATAGTGATTTTGATGATGATGAAGATGATGATGATGATGATGATGATGGAAAAGATGATGATGATGAAAAAGATGATAGTGATGATGATGATGATGAAAAAGATGATAGTGATTTTGATGATGATGAAGATGATGATGATGATGATGATGATGATGGAAAAGATGATGATGATGGTGGTGGTGGTGACAATGGTGAGGATGATGATGATGATGGTGAGGAGGATGGTGAGGAGGATGGTGAGGAGGATGGTGAGGAGGATGGTGAGGAGGATGGTGAGGAGGATGACGATTTCAAAAGTGGTGCTTAGGACTGAAGTAGTGGTGACGTCATGATGATAACAGTAACTATTTAAAAATTAGGAAGATGATGGCCACGATAATAAAGAAAAGATGATAATGAGTTTGAGTTAGCTCAGTCGGTAGAAGTGCCACGTCTCGCGCTGCTATTGCTCGATGGCACGGTTCGAATGCTGTTTGTCCGAAAATCAAAGACCATCATAAGGGTATGATGCGGTGCTTGCGCGTGAGGTGTCAATAGTACATCCCTAGTGGCATAATTTAATTATATGTTCACAATAACATGTAAGCTGCTCTACGTTCTACAGAGCTCTTCAGAGCTGCATTACAAAGAATAAAAAATAGGCAATGATGTCAAAAAGACGAAGTTGACGAAATGTTAATTGAAGAAATGTGATGAAAATAATCTGCACAACAATTGTGACGACTGTGAAAAAGTTACGAAACGCTCAAACAAGTCTTATTATAGTCTTATATAATTATTATTGTATATCTTAATATGCATTTTTATGTTGGAATGGGACGCTGGAATGGGATGTTTGATGTCTGTGCTGTGTAGATGATCGATCAATCGGTCGGTCGATCGGTCGGTCGGTCTTTTTATCTCGAACAAAAACTTAAATGGATATTTCAATTCCGAGTCATATGTGATGATGTGTGGTGATGTGTGATGATGTGTGGTGATGTGTGGTGTGGTGATGTGTTGTTCTTTTGTGACGATCGGCATATTTTAACAAAAATACTTATATAAATTATTATCAAATAATACTTTGTTAACTAACCGACCGACCGACTGACCGACCGATAACCTAACCAACCAACTAACGATCAAACCTTGTTTTAAAATGAGCAAAACGAAAATAATCTTCATTGATTTGTGAGCGCAACTTACAAGCACATAAAAACAACACAACAACACAGAAACGTGCAGAGAGTGGCATAGACAACATAAACAACGCGTAAACAACACAATGGTCTCTAAGAAGTAGACAGGATAAATCCAATGCAGCCAAATTGACAGCTTATAGATTGATATTGACTCTTAATGACAAGTACAGTGTTTACGACGTGTTCAACATTCCCCTTGTCTTTATTTCTTCATGTATTTTATGGTCCATTGTTCTGCATGTTGTTTGTTGTGTTGATTGTTGTGTTGTTCGCATGTTGATTGTATGTTTGTATGTTGTTTGTATGTTGTTTGCATGTTGTTTGTATGTTGATTATTATTATTATTATTAATGAAAAATTTAATAAAGCGCTAATTCAAAGGATCTCAAAAGGATTGTATGTTTGTATGTTGCTTGTATGTTGTTTGTATGTTGTTTGTATGTTGTTTGTATGTTGTTTGTATGTTGTTTGTATGTTGTTTGTATGTTGTTTGTCTGTTGATTGTATGTTTTCATGTTGATTGTATGTTTGTATGTTGATTGTATTTTTGTATGTTGATTGTTGTGTTGTTCGCATGTTGATTGTATGTTGTTTGTATGTTGATTGTATGTTTGTATGTTGTAGCAGCAGTAGTAGTGGTGGTAGTAGTACTGGCGGTGGTAGTAGTAGTAGAAGTTATAAAAGTAGTAGTAGTAGTAGTCGTAGTAGTTGTTGTAGTAGTAGTAGTAGTAGTAGCAGCATTATTATTTTGATTTTTGTTATTGGTGTTAGAATTTTTTTTATTATGATTAATATTAATGTGTTGATTGTATGATATTATTATCATTGTTATTATTATTATTATTATTATTGGGGCTATTTTTTGTCATCTGCGTGAGCAATGTTTCTGGAAAGGAATCGATTGGCGATGATGATGATGATGGTGATGGTGATGATGAATGTGATGATGATGGTGATGATGATTTTGATGATGATGATAATGATGATGATGAATGTGATGATGATGGTGATGGTGATGATGATGGAAATAAAATGGTGACAAATACGACGATATAGTCAATATTGGTGATGGTGGTTGTGATGTTGATGGGGACGATGATGACGATGATAGCAACTGTGATAATGATATCACGATGATAACAACTGTGATAATGATATAAAATGACATTGCTTATTTGTGATAGCGTAGATGATATCGATGATAGTGTTGATGATATCAATGATACTATTGATGATATAAATGATAGTGTTGATGATATGAATGGCAATTCGGATGATATATATAATAATGTTGTTGATATCAATGATAGTGTTGATGATACAAATGATAATGTTGATGATATCAATGATAATGTTAATTGACTAGGATGATACAATATAGTGATTACTCATAATAATAATAATGATGAATGAATGATGACGATAATGATGATACAAGTAGAATGATGATACAAATATAATGATAGATATAGTATAGAGATAGAGGTGTCAATGATTGCTATTAAATTTGGACATTTGTGAAATTAGGACATCGTGATGTTGATGATGGTAAAGTTATTTATTTGCTATCCAAATATTTTTTATATTGTTTTTTCAACATCATCATGCCTTTTTTAAAATTTTATCGAAAAAATCATTTAAATGGCCGTCAACATCATCATCATCGTCGTCGTCGTCATCAACAACATCATCATCATCATCAACAACATCATCATCA